TGCATGTAAATATTTTAATATGAAATATATTGTTATGAAGCAAAGGCACTTTCAGAAATGTTAATTAGAAATGCAATCATTATGCAACTTCCTTTAGAGAGATACTCATATTTTTCCAGAATTATGTTCTCATTTCTGGATGCACACGAATCTCCAATAGTTCAGTTTAGAATTAACGCTGGCATTTCTGCAGTAAACTTTTATATTTTAATACAATTAATTCTTCGTTACAGATCCATTGTATTAAAAGTGAAAATCATGCATTCTGAATTATTTTATAGCAATATGTAATCAATTTTTGTTGGCACATACAAGCTAAATTAGAATAAATTGTTTCACAAAGTATTATGTTAAATATATTATGTGGTCATTTTCAGATTTCAATGATATGCGAGCCTAACCGAATAGTTACTACCAAATATTTGGAAGATAGACATGAATATTATGAATTTATAATATTATTCTCAAATGTTGGCATATTGGTGTGCATTTTTTAAATTAGTAATTAGTATTCACTATTTTCTAATTATTTTTAATTTAATTGTTTATTGGGAATGTCGATTTCAGCTGTTTTTTAATGAACAATATTATATCAAAGCAAAATGTGTTGATCGAATTACCGATATTAGCAAACTCCAGAACACTGTAATTAAGACAAAAAAATTTGAAGCGGTGGCCGAACTACAAATCGAAGAATCTGTAAGTACTACTCGCCAAATATTTCCTCTGTTAAAATTGTTCACAGTATTGTTTTTTGAATGCGACAGATTTTTCAGCGAATCCCCGGCAATTGGCACATTGTGCAACCAATTTCAATAAACCAGAAAATTATTATCGATTATTACCCGATCAAAAATAGCATAATTACATTCCGAGTAGGGGATAAAAACGGAATAACAGCACTTGCTGTAATCGTGGACTACACAAAAGGAGTAAGAGTCTTTTATTTTTTGAGTTTTCTTTAAATAATGTGAATTTGACTAAGCGTCCTCAAATTGACGATATGTGTTTCAAAATTTGAATTTTTAGGTGCTTTATGTAAAACGCGATCGACTAGACGATGAAAAGATACAATGCCTTAATTTTGCAAATAGTCCACAGTTTACTTTATCAATGTTGGGTACAGTTGAAATTGCTGTGTACTCACATCGGTTTAAGGTTTCAGTTTGATGATATTCAATGATTTATTTCATTATGATGTGAGTTATTCAATGACTAAAAAAACAGTGAAAAGATATGTTGTCCATATCTTTTCACTGACAGATGTTCGTAGAAAATTCACATCGGCAGTGAAACAATTCAGGTCATCGAGAAGCAAATTTGAAACAAAACAAATAGATTTGTATTATTTTTAGAAAAGAATGAATTTCAAGTCTTGTTAGTCTTTTCATTTTACCGCGAAAGATCCGATATTTATGAAATATGCAGACTTACGAATGAAAGTAACAGCAAATTCATTTCTCAAAGTTTTTCATTTATTTAATTCTTCACATGTGCTTAATTTTAGATTGTCATGAAACTAGCAAAACGGCTATTTAATCCTGATATGCAAGGATGTGCGATTTATGGTCATCACTTATCTCCTTACGACATTGAGCAAACTATTATTGATTCAACAAATAAAAATATAGTTGCTTTCGCTCATTATATGGAAATGGCATGAGATTATTCATGTTTGTTCATATCTGAGATATATTGTTAATGTCTCTGTTCATGTTCAAGTTTTACTGTTCATGTATAAGATTAATATTCTTACCTCTGTAAATTTTTCTTCTCTAATTCAGTTGATATTTTATGATGTATAAATTTTCATTTTGAAATTTCTTGGTTTGAAGACACGTTAAAATATATTACAAACGAGATTGTAAAGTACGACTGTGTGAACAGCAAGGGGAAATGCGAAATAGATTTTGGCTACTAAAGGATACTTTAACAGTATTTGCTTTTAATGACTCTGATTTTTTTCCATGTAACGTGCTCAACTAAGTTGAATACAAACTCTGAGCAATTATAAAGTTCACTGAACCTGATCCGCTTATCGATGTAATACTTCACGTGATGACACGTTATGTAGAGCAACAGATGAATGGATGCTGTTGAATCATGTAATGTCCTTCGAAAATTCGGTAGAACATCAAAATCCGCAGCAGGTCACAAAGGGATTTCAAATCCCTGATGAAAGAAATTTTTGAAACTTATGAATTTATCATTGAGAAAAAACGAAATAATTTCGTCGGTATATTGAGATGCTTTGAAAAAACTGCAGGAATTTGAAAATTTTGTTACGCATTCCAAAGCTAACAAAAACTGCAGCAAAGATTCGAGAAGTTTAAATATTAATTAAGTCAATGTGTTATTGAATTATTTAACCAGCAGAGAAAAATAGTTAAAAGTGGTATGTTATTCTTTTCGTAGCTTCACTGAACAGGAATATCTGGTCAGTTTAAGTAATTCGCTGAATAATATATTATAGCAAATATTTCTATCAACAAATTTTTTTTATCGAAAAATATTTATTAGATGCATTAACAATATTGCTTTCATTTTTGGAAAAAAGTTAACATTTAAAAAAAAGAACCCTAAAATTAGTTGTCAAGAATGACAAAAAAGAAAGCGAATAAAAAATTTGTGACTGATCGGTAAGTAAATTCAACAAAATTAATTTAATTCCCCTTTCACTTTTTTTCTGCTTTTCAAATAATATTTTAGATTTCCTTCTATTTTTTTCATTCACCTTGTACATATACCTTAAACTGCTTACATGAGCACGGGACAATCGTTTTAAGGATTCATATTACAACAACATACTATCACTGTTATAGCCATTGTTTCTTCACGTGTATCCATGTAGAAGCATTTTCTAGCAAATCCGTTTTTCAGATAATTTGAGCATAATATTAAGTATGGATATCTTTTCAATAATATTTGATCAGTATTTGATATGCAACCAGCTGGAAGCTAAAATGTAGAAATTAGAGAATGAAATAAAAGATTGGAAATGATAAACCATCTGCTAAATTGATTTTGAGTTAGTTCCAATAATGCGATGATAAATGAAATATAATAAATGTATTAGGATAAGAAAAAAAAAGAACTTGGTAATATGTCGAGAAATAAATGCAACATGTGCAATTTGCTGTAGGTTACAGTAGAAAGAAAAAAAACCTAAAACTCAGTATTTGATATTAGATTAAGAATATTTTATTAATTTTGTCATGAATTCAATTTTTATAAATTACTATGCTGCTATAGAAATAATTTTGTGTTTTTCATTTAATTATTTGGCATAACTTACATTATTGGATATAGCATTTGAAGCGTATCGAATCTGATAACAACCTATCAGTGATTTACACCTACCAAGTTTCTATCAGGTTTAATGCTACGTCCACCAAAACCGGCTGCTATCAACCAGAACTGGCTACAATCCACTAAAATCACGACGAACCATTTTAGATGAGCGTCAGTCAGAGGAACATGAGATATAACAGACTTATAACATAACAAAAACGATGAAATTGCTTTATCATTAGCATTTCTGTCAATCCTACTATATTGGAACTATGAGATGATAAAACATATTTTAGGAATGTAAATTTTTTCCAAATATGACGCATGACACAGCACATTTATTTGATCAATCAAGAAAAACCCGTTTGTATCAACGATGATTTTTATATTAATTGCTAATTTAAATCGAAGTTTCACTGTCGAAAATATCAGTTCATCAAACGGTCGAATATGAAGTGGTTAATTTTTAGAAATGTATCTATCAGTTGCAAAGCACATTTCAAAAGTGGCGATTGCCAACATTCCTATCACACTTTCAGTTAATGCTTTTAGTACGACAATTTTTATGCCCATTAATTTATTTGACTAAAATGGTAGAAATAAATAAAAATATTGATTAGCGTTCATATCAATACTAATTCTAAAATTTGCTTTTGAATATATTGCCTGCTTTGCTGATATCGTTATCCTCCATCTGAACACATCGAGATATTAAATAGTCT